AATTTTGATTTACATAAATTTTACAATTATTGAAAATTAAAATTAAAAGCTTATTTAAAAAGAATTTTAACAATAATAATAAAAAATATAAACTTGTTTAACAATATTAAAATTATTTTTGTTCCCATTACTTTATAATCATAATAATATGTTCCAAAAACAAATAAAAGTAAACATATTTTCTTCGTTCAAAATTGTAAAACTTATAAAGATCAAAATAAAAAACAACAATTATACTAAGCAGGGACTAAATATAAAAACATTCTAAAATAAAAATTAAATCTATTAAAATCGAAGGAAGAAAGTTTTATTTTGAGATAAAGGAGTATATGATTATGAACAGTAGTTAGAGGCAGCAAATGAGTGGATTGGGTTTACTCGGATTTTAGGTTTTATGAGTTAGGTTATATATAGGTTGTGGATCAACAAGTGTTGACCATAACTCAACCCTAACATATTATGGGTTGACTCATAAGTTGAATTTTTTTATTTTTTGCATAATTAGTCATGTTTTTAATACTAATTTATTAAAATTAAATTATAGTAACTTAGGTATGATTATTTCCTAATAATTTTACTTCTCTCTATTTGATTAGTTTAAGGAAAATGATTTTTTTTTGTGGAATATATTTTGAATGATTCATTTAATTTTTTTTGTTTTCTTTATAGGTAATCATATGTAATATACAATACTTCATTTATGAATTTTAAATAAATATAATCAACTTCATTTAAAAAGTTTTATAAATTGTAATAGCCACCATCATATTAAATTTCTTTTAAATTATATTTGTTAGTTATTTTATCTTAAAAAATTATCTTATAAAAATATATTTTTTTAATCTTAAAGACAAATGGGTCAAACAAGTCAACTCGTAAACTTGCAAGTTGACCCACGTTTGACCCATGATTTGTTTTAGTTGACCCAAACGAGTCACGAGTCTAATATTACTTGATCCTAACCTACTTTTTACAAGATTGGTTAGAGTCAAGTTAACAAGTTGGATGTGATTTTGCTCTTTTATTAGTAGTTGTACATTAGTAGTTGCAATCATTCGGTTTCAAAGAGCATACTTATATTATGACCAGTTCTAGTTAGGCACAATATACTGAAGGACAATGATTGGTACACATTCAGTTGAACACACTGTACAATACGTTTATTAAAAAATTATTATTTTTTAGTATGAA